GGTCGAACTCATTCCTAGCTATTCTCAGTTTGTCAGGAGCTAGTCGTCGTGCTTTAGATGTCACGGGTTGTCCTGTGGTAATGATGTGGTGCATAACATTGCTGGTTATGCACGGTAGGTCGTTTGACGGGCAATTAAGTTCCGAATGTTTGTCAACAATAGGTTGAAAAGTTGGATCTTAACGGGTGACAAACTAGGGCCTATGTAGCTGATGCCTTTGATAGACAGACTAGTAGTATTGTCAATCAGTCGTTTTCGGCGGACGTCTACGAGTAAATCATGATGATTAAGCAGGTTCGTGCTAATGATGGGCATTGTAACGTCAGCGAGAAGGAAAATCCACCGAATAGGTTTGCGTAAACCTACGTTCACATAGACGTATTTCCAAACAACAGAAGACAAGGGCCAGGCAACAGATCGTTTTATTACGAAAATCAACGAGTATTTATATATATTTTATGTACATTAATAAGGCTCATGCAAGCAGAAAAAGGCAGTCTTCTAATTGCTTGTTTCTCGGAAGACAAACACAGTCTCCTGATTGGTTGTTTTCGATATTTCTCGGAAAGTAGAGCCATTTATCTGCGAATCGTATTTGCCCACGTTTAAGTCTGCTGTGATTGGTTGTTGAATCAGCCTAGATTAATGTCTAACAATCAGCGTCGATTAATGTCTACCAATTGGCTAGCAGCCTGCTCTCACCACACTCGTCCCCTCGTCAAATAGCTTCATACGCAGACGTTCCAACTTACTAGGTGCTACATCATCTAGTTGAGGATTGTTACTGATCGGCTTGTCCCACTGTACCCATCGTTGGAGCTGACTAGCATTAACTCGTTTCTGTTTGTCACCTCTTCGGATGGTACATACTTGGCCCCGTCTTTTTGTGATTGTGTATGGTCCTTCCCACTTTGGAAGGAGTTTCCGTGAACCTAGCCCGCCTCCAACTGTATATCTCCTGTCTCTACACTTCACTTGGTCCCCGACTGCAAAGGTAATGCACTGCGTCCTTTCTTTCATCTGAGACTTCACAACATCAATCCGCTGCTTCCGTATTACATTCTTGACTGCCTCTTTCCTCTCTGCTTTTAATTTCGTCGTACTCCACTTTTGGTGCATGGGCCAGGTCTCATTGTGTATCGGTAATCGTGGTTTTCTACCATACATCAGTTGAAAGGGTGACTTCTTCGTTGTTTCCTGAGTGGTAGCCCGATGTGTTAGTAAAATCAGTGGAAGCTCCGTTTCCCAGTTCCCGCCCTTCGAGGCCAGCCACTCCTTCAGTGTACGGTTGTTTCTCTCCGTTAGGCCATTCGTTTGTGGATGATATGGGGTCGTTCTGATCCTCTTGATGCCCAGCTGTTGCAAACGGGAAGTAAATTCTTCACTCTCGAAACAGGGACCTTGGTCTGTCAGTATTGTCTTCGGTACGCCGTGGTCTGCAACGATGTGTCTAACTACTGCATCTGTCACGGTCTTTGCACGTTGGTCTGGGATTGCTACGGCGTCTACCCATCGTGTCGCGTGTTCCGTCATCACCAAGAGGTACTGATTACCATTGGATGTCTGAGGAAATGGACCCATGACATCTACGGACCACAAGTCACCTATCGCGGTAACTGGAATCGACTGAAGTGGTGGTCGTATGCACCGGTCACCTTTCATTAGCTGGCACCGTGGACATCCAAGTACGTATCTTGCTACGTCTTCTCTCATACCTGGCCAGTACATACTTTGTCTTAGGAGGTCGGTCGTTCTGGCCACGCCTGTATGTGCTAGCTGGTGACATTCTTCTATCATGTCGTGGCGCGACGATTGAGGTATGACAGCCAGCCAGCTTCCGTCGTTCTCTCGCCAGGTCAGAGTTCCGTAGGCATTCACTCTTAGTCGATCTCTCTGTCTGAGTAGTGTGGTTAGCTCCTTACTCGCCGTAGCTTGATCTACTTCTATTCCGTTGGTGATCACCTGTATTACTGTATTCAGCGTATCGTCCAACCTTTGCCTGCGTGCAAGTTTTAGTGGGTCTTGTTCTACTGCATGCACTCCGTAAGCGACCTCGGGCAACTCAGACTCATCTTCTGGTCTCGATAACAAATCTGCCAAGACATTTTCACTTCCAGGAACGTGTGAGATCGTAAAATCGTACTCCTGAAGACGCAACATCCACCGTGACAACTTCCCCCGTCGGTCTCTCGCTGTCTTCAAAAATTGTAGCGGCTTATGATTAGTTTCGATGTGGAAACGCCGGCCGAGTAAATAAGGTCTCCATTTGTCGACTGCCCATACCATTGCTAAACATTCTTTCTCTATCGTTGAATACTTTCTCTCTGTGAGGGTCAAAACCCTACTGGCATACTCAACGATTCCCTCACCCTGTCTTAGGACCGCACCTATAGCGTAGTCACTGGCATCTGTGCACACTGTGAACTGTCTTCCAGGCACAGGTAGTTTTAGCGTCATTTGTTGGTGGTCGAACAGGTGTTTAATTCTGTCGAATGTCCTCTGCGATTCCTCCGCCCAAACAAACTTCGGCTCACCTAGTAGCCTGTACAGAGAGGCTGCTATCTCATTGAAGTTCTTCACGAATCGACTATAAACGCCGCTCTACCCAAGAATTGCCTCAATTTTCTCTTTGAATTCGGGGCTGGAATCGTTTAAATCGTCAAAATTTTCTCCGGTAGTGGTTTAATCTCACCATTTCCCACTTTATGTCCCAACACAGTAACATTCTTTTTGGTTATCTGGGACTTGGTTTTGTTGATGTGCAGTCCAAACTCTTCGATGCGTCGTAGCACGGCTTCTACATGGTTGACGTGATCGTTTTCGTTTTGACTGTATATGACGAGATCATCACCATACACCTCCACGTTTTTCAAGTTCTTAAGTAATAGCGTCATCATTCTCCTGAATGTAAACGGTGCACCTGCTAGTCCAAACGGCATGCGTTTAAATCGATACTGTGTCTGGCCCACGATGAATGCCGTCTTATCTCTATCACCTGGTTTTATCGGTATCTGCCAGTATCCTGAGCGAAGATCGAAAACCGAAAACACATTCGCGCCTTGTAGGCGATCTAAAGTTTCTACCACTGTTGGCATGGCACACGGTCTTAACTCTGTCACACTGTTTAACTGTCGAAAATCAACACAGAATCTATACTCCCCATTCGCTTTCTTTACTAACAGCACTGGAGAGTTGTACGGGCTATCAGCTTCCTCAATAATATCGTCTTTTAACATCTCTTGCACTTGTCGCTCCACTTCGCCTTCCAGATGACATAGCAGTCTTCGAGTTGTAAATGACCTTTGTCAATCACGTCTCATAAACCGTTAATGCCCAGCTCTCGCTACGCTCGGGCCCACGCTGTTCCTTGAAGATTTCAGAAACGCTTAGTTATAACGGACGAAAAAACCAAAACACCGATCTGCCGCTTGAGATTTCTTTATTGTTACACCAACAAATAAAAAGAATAACTGAACTAAGGTCTGTGAACAAATATTGCAATAATAAATCATAGTATTACTTCTGACGATGTTTCACTCTTCTTTCTGAACAGCGACCGATGAGACGATGACTGTCGTATTGATGCCTCCGCGAAAATTGGGGAAGTTGATTTTGAGCAAACAACCATGAATTGATCGTTCAACCTTCAACTCAATTGACACTCCCCGGCATAAAAAGGATCCAACCCTATTTTCCTTCACGACCAATACACGTTCACTTGGATGCCATTGCGAGAACCTGGGTCACACGGACAGAGCTGAAATGGAAAACAAACAGAAAAGTCAACACACCACAGGCATACCCACAGCACAATCTCACACACTGATGACGAACTAGGCATTCCAGGTAAGGGCATCCTCTTGACATCTTGCAACACAATCGCCACTTGCTAGAATGACTCTTGCAGAATGCAACGTGACCATAGCACCACTTCATGATACTCTACGCACACCCTAATCTACTCACTACCAATTACCACTGAAATCGCTTGTCACTCATTCTGCCTCAGTTCTAGTAGCGGTGACGCATGCGAGCCTCAGTCGTTTACACTCTTGCTCCCCGGCGTGTCGGACCGCAGCTAACAGTTACCTCCGTGTGCGTTTCATTCTCAGCAATAGCCTAGCCTCCCTGGCGTATACGACCCATCTGCTGTCTCTAACATCAATCAATTCATTCACGGATGTAGAAGACAAGAAACAACTTCAGAAGTAATCACGACGAAAATTTTAACAAAATTATGCAATAACAACAAGATACGAAAACAACAAGTAAACACAATGAATCCAAAAAACACCAATTGATACGACACAACACACGTATACACAAACAGTACAAATAACCTCGCCGATCATGTCTTGATGGAATTCCTTTGAAGAATTGCAGGACATACACCAGTGCGCCTACAACCCTTCACAGGTTGACGACTGTAAGTTGTGGAATGTACGGACACAAACAAGATTAACCAACAATTACATCAATTGGAACACACACAATTACTTAACACAAACGTATGTACAATCACTATATCAAATGTTGGGGATTCTGCCTTGACGAACCACCCTTGAAGAACTGTAGGACTTACAGCAGTACGCCTACATTCCTTCTCAGGTTGATGATCCAAGTGGAAGTCGTCCGGACACAAACAGAATTACCAACAGCTAGATGACAGATGATATCAATTCAGTACATACAACATGAACATATGTACAAGATCATACACCAAGCACACTGGACTGCTCATTAATGCGCTACCCTTTGAAGAATTGTAGGACTTACACCAGTACGCCCACTACCCTTCTCAGGTCGACGCTCTAGGTTGGAAAATCGTCGCAGAGTTTATTTGCTGACTTCTTTCTATCAGCTGTATCCTCAAATCTGAACGGCAACACGCCCATGTCATTGTATCGTAGAATATAGATGACGAACAAACATACGACATATCTCATCAACCAAGTATAGAAACAGAGTAATTTACACCAAAGATAATAGCATTCAAATAGTTACTTGAAACTAGAAATGCCTTTATTCATGTAAGTCAATTTAACAATTACTCTCTCGTTTATACTTGGCTTATCCTCACTAAACTGACCAATATCTTTCGTCTTTTCAAACGCACCAATACTATCATAGTGATTGCACAAGATACTTGAGTTCATGGGTGTCTGTTTCATTGTGGATGACAGCACCAGCGACAACTGATTGATACCAGTTGATGAACTTAGCGGTGGATCAGAAGCTGTTGTTGTTCGGCTTTCAGACAATTGTCTAACTGCAAGTTTACCACCACTGCTGTCTTTCATTACTAGTTCGGGTTTAGCACTATCATCTGATGATAGGTGGGCTACACGCTGATCAATTACACTGACGGTCTCACAAGTATCCATAACTTCTGCAACTGCATCTGCATTCAATTCTACTTCACGTTGTAGTTGTACAGAACCTTTATTCAACTTAGCAGTAGTAGGCATTCCTCCCATTTCATCATGATCAACCAAAGACAAATGTGAAGTATCATGATCATTATCATGAATATTCAATTTACCATCACCTCACTTCATCACTTTCAAACTCTTTAATAACAGCAGTAGATGATTTTGGTTCTTCCTCACAAATCCCTAAAGATTTCATACCTTCACTGTGACTAGTAATACCTTGTAAACTTGTGGAGTCAGAACTGAACTCTGAAGCAGTAACTCTATTCTGTGACACTCTATTCAACAATGGTTTACCAGTTGTAACTACAGACTTCTTCACCACACCGTTATCGTCACACAATTCGGAGTCAGGCCCGGAGTTTACATTTAGCTTATCACTGAACTTGCTCACTGGTTCACAGTTCACCTTTGTATGCACCTCTTGCAAACGTGTAAAACACAACCGTGTTTGTCTTGCATCTTGTACCTTATCTGTTGAGGATGTACTACGAAACCTGTTACACTCACTAGGTCTATATGCATTACTGGACATCATGGAGTCTTCTCGATATCCACCTCTCTGAGGCCTACTCGTCATCAATGATTGCATTTTGCTCTCAGACTGCTCTATTCTAAGGGTGAGATGTAATAGGCTGGCGAACATGCTCATAGATTGATTGACACTATCTTTTACTAGTTTCAGGATACCATCAAATTTTGGCTCGATACCCTCATCCTCTATACGGGAGCTTATCTTCACCCACTTCCTTTGCAGTCGAGTAGGTAGGCGTCTTGCCATTACTTCTAGTATAAAACTCGAGTTGAGGTCACTCATGCGATTCATCGAAATCATTCCATTCTTGTAAATTAGCAAATTATCTAAAAACTCAGTGAGTGCCTGGGAGTCATCCTGTAATTGACCACCATTACCCTTAACAGCCTCGAATAATTTCCCTACAATCATCGAAGGTCTTCCAAACCTTTGACGTAGTATGCTCATAGCCTCGTAGTAGCCCTCTTTTGGCTTCATAGACTTACAGCACTGTATAGCTCTTGCAGCATCTCCAGTGCAATACCTCATCAAATACATTAACTTCAATTCATCATTTAATAAAAAACCACTCAACATGATCTCAAACTCCTTTACAAATTGTAAATAATCAGCCGGGTTTCCATCGAAACACCTTGGTTCAAATTTAGGGAGTTTGATGTTCCTATTATCGCTGGAAGGCGAAACAGTAACATCAACCATGTCATGCTTAACATCAGACACATCGTTACAATTAACAGACAAGTCACCATGACTTACTTTCCTGTCTGCATCCAAGACACTCTGTCCCTTCTTTGACCCAGGCATTGTTGAACTTGACCCAATTCCAAAAGCGTTCCAGATATTGCTTGTTCAAAGAGGACTTGACCGGCACCAGGAAAGATGAACGGCGACTATCCAAACTTTCACCAACTGTTTGAATCCGCCATATCTGTTTCTATCGTCAGAAGCTGTCAATCACTTCTCATAAACCGTTAATGCCGAGCTCTCGCTACGCTCGGGCCCACGCTGTTCTTCGAAGATTTCGGAAACGCTTAGTTATAACGGACGAAAAACCAAAACACCGATCTGCCGCTTGGGATTTGTTTATTGTTACACTAACATATAAAGGGAATAAGCGAACTAAGTAAACTAAGGTCTGAGAACTAATATTGCAATAATAAATCATAGTATTACTTCTGACGATGTTTCACTCTTCTTTCTGAACAGCGACCGATGAGACGATGACTGTCGTATTGATGCCTCCGCGAAAATTGGGGAAGTTGATTTTGAGCAAACAACCAAGAATTGATCGTTCAATCTTCAACTCCATTGACACCTACAATTCTTGAAAGGGTAGCGCATTAATGAGCAGTCCAGTGTGCTTGGTGTATGATCTTGTACATATGTTCATGTTGTATGTACTGAATTGATATCATCTGTCATCTAGCTGTTGGTAATTCTGTTTGTGTCCGGACGACTTCCACTTGGATCATCAACCTGAGAAGGAATGTAGGCGTACTGCTGTAAGTCCTACAGTTCTTCAAGGGTGGTTCGTCAAGGCAGAATCCCCAACATTTGATATAGTGATTGTACATACGTTTGTGTTAAGTAATTGTGTGTGTTCCAATTGATGTAATTGTTGGTTAATCTTGTTTGTGTCCGTACATTCCACAACTTACAGTCGTCAACCTGTGAAGGGTTGTAGGCGCACTGGTGTATGTCCTGCAATTCTTCAAAGGAATTCCATCAAGACATGATCGGCGAGGTTATTTGTACTGTTTGTGTATACGTGTGTTGTGTCGTATCAATTGGTGTTTTTTGGATTCATTGTGTTTACTTGTTGTTTTCGTATCTTGTTGTTATTGCATAATTTTGTTAAAATTTTCGTCGTGATTACTTCTGAAGTTGTTTCTTGTCTTCTACATCCGTGAATGAATTGATTGATGTTAGAGACAGCAGATGGGTCGTATACGCCAGGGAGGCTAGGCTATTGCTGAGAATGAAACGCACACGGAGGTAACTGTTAGCTGCGGTCCGACACGCCGGGGAGCAAGAGTGTAGACGACTGAGGCTCGCATGCGTCACCGCTACTAGAACTGAGGCAGAATGAGTGACAAGCGATTTCAGTGGTAATTGGTAGTGAGTAGATTAGGGTGTGCGTAGAGTATCATGAAGTGGTGCTATGGTCACGTTGCATTCTGCAAGAGTCATTCTAGCAAGTGGCGATTGTGTTGCAAGATGTCAAGAGGATGCCCTTACCTGGAATGCCTAGTTCGTCATCAGTGTGTGAGATTGTGCTGTGGGTATGCCTGTGGTGTGTTGACTTTTCTGTTTGTTTTCCATTTCAGCTCTGTCCGTGTGACCCAGGTTCTCGCAATGGCATCCAAGTGAACGTGAATTGGCCGTGATGGAATAAAGGGATGGATCCCCTTTTTGCCGAGGATTGTCAACGTAGTTCAAGATTGATCGATCAATTCATGGATGTTTCCTCAAACCCAACATCCCCATAATTTTCGCGGGTCATCAATCTGCCAGTCATCGTCTTGTTGGCTGCTTGTCAGAAACAAGAGAGAAAAAACTGTCAGAAATAATATCGTGATTTATTGTCGTAGTGTTTGTTCTCAGACCTTAGTCTGTAATGCAAATAATTCTGGTTATATGTTGGTTTTAGAATAAAGAATTCTCGAGTCGCCAACCTGTGTTCTGGATTTTACGTCCGTTAATACTGAGCGTTTCTGAGTATCTTCGATGGACAGTGTGAGGCCCAGCGTAGCAAGAGCTGGGCATTAACGGTTAATGAGACGTGACTGACATCCTCTCTCCTCTTCTATTGGCTTCCAGGTGTGTGTGTGTGCCTGTTGAGAGCCACTCGCTGCCTTGTCTTTTTCCTTACCCCCGAAACACATACACATTTCCGTGAAAATCACCTCCTGAGAGCTCCAATGTTATCCCACACTGATTTCCTCAGTGATGCAACACCACATAGTGTCTCCAACTTTTCTCTGATATCTTTAGAGGAGGTCCCCTGTAATTGCGTGCTCCAGTTTATGAATGTTGAACTTGGATTAAAGTGGCCAGTCTCCAGTTGTTTTCAAGGACTTCAGCTTCCCCGTGTACGTTCCTTGCACTAGATGATAGTCGGAGCTCACGCCTGCTCCCCTCCTCGACTTTATGTCTAGTAGACTGTCTGCATCTCCACTTCCTTGAGCAGCATTGAGATGAAATCTGTTTAATTCTTGGTCTGTACATGAGGTAAAATTCGTGTTGCCTTGTTCATATCCTCGTGTTTGTACACGCTCCCACCGTTCACTAAATATCTGGAAGCTCAGAAGTCTGTGAATAATTCTCTGTTCTCATTCATTTCTCTGAGCCAGTGCCTCTCAATCCATGATAAGTTCTCTCTCGGTATTATTTTCCCCTAGTTCCATGGGCATTCAAATTGCCCATAACTATTCCAATGTCACCATTTGGAATGTTGTCCATTACTGTTTCTAGTTGTCTGTAAACATCTTCCTTCTTGGCTCGTTCCGCGTTGTTTTCAGCACTGTGCATAGCAAAGGATAATTGTAACCTTCCAACTCTCCTTTCAGTTGAATCTTGCTGTCATGATCCTGCTGGGGAAGTTTGGTTCCCACTGCATTATATCTTAAGCTACTGCATGCGGCATCAATATAGCTGCCTACTGCCTTAGTGTGGTTGTCATCTGGGTGTCCGGAGTAGATTATCGACTCTCCAGTTGACAGTTTTGTCAATCAACCTACGTTCAATCGGCCTTCGCAGATAACCAGTACTTCTAGGCAATATCTTCGCATCTCTTCGGCTGACTGGACAGCCTTTCGAGCACCACACATTATACGTATATTCCACGTCCCTATTCTTATTCTTGTTTTCATCGACAGAAGACACAACGCCCGGCTGACTTGCTTCCCGGACGCTCTAACCAGCCCGCGTCATTTCACTTCTCTGATTTGGGCGGAGAATAAGACTGTTGTTAATTAAAGCTTTTGTATTTTGAATACATATTTTGCGCGCGTTGAAGTTTCTCCGGCGCTTTGATAGTTTTAGTAGTGAAGAGTTTCTAGCCCTGCGCCTAGCCCTCCGTCTTTACCGTAGCATGGGATTAGCTAGAAAACCAGAAAGCTTGTCCACTAGCCGAGGTTCACTCGCAGTCACCAAGTTCTTTTGCTGAAAAGCGTGATATTTGGACACTGTTAACTGCAAGCGTGACATTCACCTTCTCCTTTGAACATTCCCTGCAGAAATGTAGTCTAGTGAAGGCCATTGTGTTTCCTCTCGAGAACTTTTGTGCGAACTGCGTGATATGCTGTTAGTAGGGTATGGTGGATACCCATATCCACATAGTTCGATTAGTGGATCTAATCAAAATATCGAACAAAGAAATAATATTATTTTGAATCGCAATGCAGCTGACGCATACTCCAATGCAGCAAATGAATTACATCTCGTGAACAGGCTGATGCGATGATATGTATGTAGGGGACTTATACTAGAGTTCACTAACATTAAAATATAAGAATAATAATCCAAGTCAATTGAGTGTTAAATAACAATATATTACCAAAAATGCAGTGACGAGTTGTATCAACAAAAAGGATTACTTGGATATAAAGTCTAAGTCCTCTGCTACAAATTATGTATATAATCCACGGGTACGGTAATTGATTGGGTTGAGTCTGCTGTAGCTGCTGTGTTCCGGTTGTAGAAATGTCTTCGGTTGAGAGTAGTAGACTCCTACAATAAATCCGAAGTATACAACACGGTGTGAGTTGAGTAAGTAAGCAGAAGTGACCAGGGAGAAGACGAAGTCTCCAACAGCAGAGAGTATTTTTCAATTGTACACGGAAGTTACGTATATTTCAACAAGAAGCGTTTTAAACAAAAATTATGTACAATATCTCGAATTTATACAAATAACCAAATAGTAGGCAATCACATTGTTACGTACTCCACATGTATAGTACTCTGCTTTTAAACGCAGTTATGTTTATTTAACACATTTGGCAAGCTGCGTATGAACTAGAAGTCTATAGTACTCAATAGGATGTATATTCGAGTAC